TTGTATTCATTTGTGTGATTCTTGTCTCCTCTGGCTACTGTGAAGCACTTAGAACTGCACTAACTTGTATAAAAGGTGATATACACATAAGTTGAATTGATTGATTGAGAGTTTTTGACAGGTTACTCTCTGGAAAATGATGATCTTATAATTTAAGTCGGTTGTTCATATTCCCCCTACTGTCGCCGTACTGCAATCTGACCACATGTGAACGCACCACTGGACGCTCTAATCTCTTGAACTTTCTGATGATTGTAATGAGATATTCCTCCTCTTCTGGTCATGTCCCACTTTTGTCTCCCCAGCATGCCCTCCAATCACATCCAGGCACCACAGCCAGTCTGCGTGTTGATGTCCTGATTCAGCCAACAGCTCTCGATCCCTCTCCGTCACCTCATTCTGTCCACATCCATCCTGTCCCTGCCTGTCAGTCAGTCAGTCAGCAGGCAGCTTGTTGCATGACTTCTTAAAAATGTTTCACTTTGTCTCAGTAGGTGGGGGTTGTGGGTTGGAGAACATTTTACGTTGCCTGCCTGGTCGTGGTTTCTGCCCTCAGTTCACGTGTAGTATTCTCAAGTTCTCAACTGACAAAAGTTGAAAAGGAGGAGCTCTTCATGGTGGCTGACGGCGTTAATAAGGATGATAATGATGTCACTGCTGGTGACATCATCACAGTGTGCCAGCCAGCCGAACAAAAGAGGGCTCTGCCCGGTCTTCCTAGCTGTCTTGGCAGCAGCAGAGAGAGGGAGAGAGAAAGAGAGAAAGATTGATGTATCCATTCGGCTTTCAGTTTAATTCTGTCTCTCTATTCACATATTCAAATTTTCCTGTGTGAGCTTTAGTAAGGAGGAAAACATTTTGATTTGTTCTGCCGACTTTATATCTCTATTACTGCCTGGAATGAAAGCGCTCTGTCAGTTCATGCAGGATATCCTATGATTTGGCTCCTCACTCCAAATCTTCGACGCTATTTAAAATGTATTGTTTTCGCAAAGATGCCTCTGTCTCCTCTCCCCTCTGTCTCTCTCCTCCTGTCTCTCCTCTGTCTCACCCAATCTCTTCCACCCTCACCCGTGCTTTCTTTCTCCCTCGCCTACATCTCTATCTGTCCTCTCGCAGGACTCTGAGAGAAAGGGCTTCATGAACAAGCTTTATGCCATTCAGGACGTGTGCATCAGCGTGCAGAATGCACTGGATGAAGTGGCCTCCTATGGCGAGAGGATAAAGAAGTGAGTCGTAAGCCTGCTCCTCGGCACCCGGCCTGCTCCACTCTGCTTTGCTCCGCACGTCCCAATGTTTTGGGGTTTTTTTTTCTCACAGTGCCAGGTTGTCCCACTTCCCCTTGCCAGTCTGAGACACAAAGGCAGCCAGTCTGTCTTCGTCAGTCGCATCTCACTTAACCCTGCATGACCTCTGAACTGAATAATGCCCTTCCCTTGCGATGCTGACCTCTAAGAAGTGTTAGTGCAGAAGTATTAAGTTTGAAAATGCCTTCCATTCCTCCTGTTGACATTCCTTATCGGTATTTTCCATGTCTTTTAATTTTAACAGGCCCATTTCCCCCTCTCTCTTCACAGCACATTTAACTGGACTGTGCCTTTTTTAAGCTGGCTGGCCATTGTGGCTCTCGGAGTGGCCACCATCATTATCTACTTCATCCCTCTACGATACATCGTACTGGCCTGGGGTGAGCTAATGTCAAAGATGTTACTTCATATACACAATAAAGATACTGCCTTGTTAGATTGTTCTGTTCTCTTGGCCTGTGTTAATGCTCAGGAGTGACTTCAGATTTATTCCCTGTCATTAGTCCTGATTAAACAGTTCTACAATATAATGTCACTTTTTATTGTTTGTGTGCAAAGCTTTTTATTAACCCTCTATGGTGCAGAGTGAAAAATTGTTTTCATCCTCTCTGGTTTTTCTGCTAAGAAGATTTTATCGTCAATGTTTTTCATAAAATAAAATTGAATTCATTACTGTTCATTACGTGTGGTTTATATACAGGTTTGAATATTTTAACTAGTGGTTTTTTTAATATATACATTGCATGTCAGTTATTTTAAGGGTCTGTTAAGCAACTGACACAATCAGAACATAGGTCACTATTCTTTCAAATTAAAAGCTTTGTAGTTCATATTGATATAAAGCAGCAAAAAAACATTGTGCTATTAATCTGTAGATAAATTACTTAGAGGAAGTGATTGTATGAATATTGATCAGTGAACAACAGGCTGGTTTTATGAGTCATTTTATTAATACTTCATGCATTAGATGCCTAAATTGTAACAGATTCCTCAGAGAATACACAGTTATGAACAGATATGTGTACCAGATACAAACAGACAGACATTTGTGGATTTAGTAGGTAAACAGATAAATTAGTTGCTGTGTAAGGCAATTTCATAAGTTGTTTCCTAGCGACAATAACAATCACAGGTTTTTATACAACTTGTCTGACTCACAAGTTGTGCTCATGTCCGCTACTGTTTTTGTCTCTGCAGGGGTGAACAAATTCACCAAGAAGCTGCGAGACCCTTACACCATTGACAACAACGAGCTGCTGGACTTTCTGTCCAGAGTACCCTCAGATGTACAAGTGGTGGGTGAACTGTCCACTTTCATCTTTTTTTATCTTTTTGACGAACACGTCTGTCGGATCCAGACATGGGTTAGGGGCTCCTTTTATCATCTCCTCTGTCCCCGTCTGTTCTCGTTCTTTTTCCTCCTCTCAGCTGCTGGCTCCTCTCTCTTTTATTTTTCATGTCTATCCTTTGGTTGAGCCACACAGACTCCTAATCAAATTTCTGTGTTTTGCTTTTAATAGCTGCCACGTCCAATTCAATTTCCACATACAAAGCTGGAGCTGTGTAATATAACAGGGTTAAGTGAGTTTAGTGCCCGGCATATAACTAGGTTGATTGACTCCATATTCTCGCACACAATTACAGTTGGCTGTTGTTTTCCAGCTATGCTAGTAATTTGAACGGAGTGTAAACCAACAGTTAACCAGCTCCATGCGGTTTTGCTTCTACATTAACCGTGAGATCAGATTAACTCTGTGGCTGAAGACGACAGATCCTTTGCGACGTAAAATATATTTGTGTGTGTGTGTAATGTAACGTGCTGTGCTGCTCAGGACAAAGTGCAGTTTAAACTGCAATTAAGCGGCAGCTTGTGAAAGTCGTTGTGTTATCCAGCACCGATGGTGTCCGCTGTGGCCGTTAAGCCCTGCTGTGCTGAGTTCAGTACACACGCACATGCACACATACTCAGGCTGAGGCCGAACGACCCGGGGCCACATCAGACCAATCCCCTGCCACTTCAGTGCTAACACACTTCCTCTTTGATCGCTTGTTGCCTGCAACCTCTTTCATCTTTACAGGGTCATAATCCTTGCTCCTCTACACACCCCTGCCAGCCCGTCGTGTTCTCCCCCTTTTCTGCCCCCGTGCAGTTTTACACATTCGTAGTTTACTGGGGCCTGCAGAAGCAGTAGGCACAAGGCAGGTAGTCATCGGCTTAAATGAGCCCAAGCTGTCCCCTCTGGTAAAGTGCAGCCACCTTACACACCTGGAGCCTGGAGGAGTGGAGCGGCGAGGAGGCCCAGGCCCGGCAGGTACGACGACTTTACAAGGCCCCTAATGAGGGCCTGCTGGCTGGGGAAGGTGGGGGCAGACATGCTGCTCTGGTCTGGTGCCCGTGCTGCTGGAGTTGTGCCTACTGTATAAGTAAGACTTTAAGTGCTACTGTAACAGTTATTGCTGCAGCTGGTGGAATGGTAATTGTTGCCAGGTTTCACTGACAGTTTGGAGACTTACTGAGTCATGTGGGTGATAGACGGAGGTGGGGGGTAAGAATAGATATTTGTGAGGGAAGATGGAAATGGAGAAATGGAACCAGAAATGAGGACAGAAAGCACAGGTAGAGTAGTTTGATTTTTTAAGGCAGGGAAGTTTTATTTGTCATTGAAATGTAATTTCTCTGCTTAGTCAGCTGATAAAGAACCTGTACTGTTCTCTTTCTCATTGAATGCTATAAGGTTAGTTTTCTCCACCCTGTTCTGTGGTCGTTGGTCTAAAAACAGACCAGAATGCTCTGATCTCCGGTGCGTCCCGCTGCTGCCTCCGGTGGTGGGTTCACCTCAATGCCCGCCGCCACCTTGCTGGGTCATAGCTGTCTGTGGGGATTAAGCCCCTGAGGCTCTTCAGCAATGCAGAGAGGTGTTGGGGTCCAAATGGAGCGTCCCCTCAGGGGCACGTGTCCATGGCACCCACTGGCATTGGTGCAGGGGCCTACTATGCCTGACACCCTGGATGACTAATGAAGTGCTATTTCAGGGCCCCGGTGTGACCTAAGAAACATACATTAGCACACAGACACACACACTAATGCTCTCCCAGCAACAGTGCATGTGAGGCGGGTTGGGGGTATTTCAGGGTACTGTTCCGCATCATTTGGAGGTGCTTTGGTGCAGCCAGGACTGATGAGGCTCTAATGACTTTATATACAAAGGGCAACCATTCTGGCCCACAGTCCATCATAATGTATATAGCCGCACAGCAACACAGACTGTGGAACAGCTTTCAGCCCCTGTTCTTCATCATTCATTGCGGTTTATTGTATTCAAGTACATAACATAAACTTTGGATTTAGGAGCAGTAACAATAATTTCTCGTCAATCATACTGTTAGCAGAAGGTTTCTTTAATTTAATCAAGGTTTTTAATACCTGACACAGGGCCTGTAACAGACAAGTCAAACACCCTTTAAAAACTGAATCCCTGGTGATGCATCAAAGCTGCAACAGGCGGAGCAACCTTTTTACCATCTGAACGGTTTACCTAAATCATCATGTCCCTCTGTGAGCAGCAATGTTAAGAGCTGACATGGTGTGTGTAGTGCATGGGTGCGCGAGAGCCACTGTCCCTCTTAACAGTTTCTCGTATCTGGTTTGGATCTTTGACCAGTGTACACTATCTTTATGGCCATTATCAAGAAATCCTTCATGTCCTCTAAAACGAGGCCAAGCTGAGCACCTTTATAGTGCTAAGTGTTCCCTACTTGGCGTTTGGGAGGTGTCAGCGCAATAGTATGTTTTACGACGCCATTAGCCATGCGAGCTACGGAGTGCATAAATAGGGCCAAGGCAATTAGCATGCCAAGTGGCCCTTTATGATTGGTGTAAAGAAGCCAGATCAAGCCCCCTGTACAAAAATAAGCATGAATTCCAATTTAGTGCCTAATGAACAGCGGGGATCTGGTTAATATTTTTAGACAACATTTATGTTGAGGATGAAACCTCGCTGGACACACACGGGTCAAAGACAGGAGAGTTAAAGGTTGAAACGTTGCCAGATGCCATCACTCACATCTACCAGAGGTGTCTCTCTCTCTCTCCTCTGCTTTGTCCTTGCCCACTTTTGTGACAAATTTAAACAATTCACCGCAAGTGGCCAATTAGTCACTCTTCAGTGTGTGTCGTGCCTCAGCAGCTAACAGGCAAAACTTTCCTTACTTTGTAATTTTTGTTGCTCACTGTCTTATGTCACCTTGACATGCCTCTTCTTTCCCAACGATAGACATTAGTGCTGAATCCTCCGATCTGCGAATGTCTGAACTGTACACAAAAGTGTTTCCTTGGAAACATTTAATAACCCTTAGGCTCCGTTAGGCATCACAAAAACCTGCTGAGTTTTCTGCTCAGTATCATTAAAACCTAGCCCCTGTGCCATTTTTGACTTCATTTATTTACTTGCCTTGTCTTTTTCTTTGCTCACTGTCACCCACCTTGGTTTCACTCTGTGTGTCTGCCCACACCAGCATCATCAAAACACTGTCAAAGGTTCAATGCGAGAGGGAGAGAGGGAGAGAATGAGAGCGGCATAGAGGAGCAGGTCCCGGGATGCTTTGTGGGTAACGCTGTTAAACGAAGCACGATGCATGGTACACGGCGCCCCTTCAGCAGAGCGCACTTCAAAGCCTGTTTTGCACTTGTACTGTCAACATTTGGGATAGCGAGAGGAGAGGAGCGAGGGTGGAGCAGCCTTTGAGCGACGCCGGGTCTTTACCCACTGCCTCTCCCGTCGCTGTTCCCTTTAAGCTCCCCGTTCATGTACCCAAATTGCTTGTGTGCTCGCCACATTACCTCACTTTTTACTTTCACCCAATTCCAGTTTCTTTTATTATGCTAACGTCCCACTTTCTCCTCGCCTCCTCTGCCTTTCCCTCTGTTTTTGACTTTAACTAGCTCTTGTTATCTACGTCGGGTTGTGTGTGCTTGTGTTTGTTAGTGGGTGAGGTGAGCTGGGAGCCAAGGGTACAGCATCAGGCAGGCCTGTCACCTGTAAGGTGGAACTGAACCTGTGACGCATAAGCCCCATTTCTCCTGGCTGGCAGCTCTTCACAAACAAACTCCCGTTTGATTGAGATATTGTTTTTTTTTTTCTTCCCTGCACCCTTTCTTTTTGTCGATCCCCTTCACTACTCTTCACGCGAAACAAAACCCTATTTTCCACTGAAATGCAAACTTTTCTTTGTGTGTCTGCACTGACAAAGAGTTTTGTTTGGACAGGAATGTCAATGCGCAGAATTAAATTGCTGTATTCCTTTTTGCTGCTGTAGGCGTTTGGCCGTATAATGGGACCACAACCAGCCAGTGATCCCATATAATACCTGTCCTACTTTTGGATCCGCTTGTTTGAATCTTGTAGCAAAACATTGAGTGAGAATGAGACATTTTTTACATGAAGATGAAGAATTTCTTTTAAATGATTTGATATTAACAAATGTGCAGTATGTTCGTGTTAGTGCGCTGCATTCAGATGTGCTGTTACTCCTTTACTCATGAGTGAATTAAATCATTCAACCATTCACTCACATTTTCATCCATGAATGCACCACTGTCATTGATCGCAGTCAATGTGGGCACTCTGCCAGGACTGTCATGGTCCCTTAACGAAAGTACCACTGCACACACACACACACACACACATTCCCACACACAGATGGGGCCATGTAAACCCCTCTCTGTCCCCTGGGTTTTTGTTCTGTTGTCTGCTTTAGTTGGCAAGGCTATAAAAGGATCCACACCCACATGAGAAAAGTATCTGTCATCACCCGGACGTCCACAGATCTCCCTCTGTCTCACCCAGACTCTTCTTCGTCACTCTCTCAATATTTTCTCTCCTGTTTCCTTTGTTAGTTTGTCCCGCTCTCTGCCCTCACTCCCTCCATCTTCCTCTGTGTTTCTGTCCCTTCTTTCTGTCTTTGCCTCCCATCCCTCCTGTCCTCCCTCGTTATCTCCACCTGGATCGCTTCCGTGTCGCCTCTTAGACCATCCTTTGGTCTCTTCTCTCACCGTATCCGACAAACCGGTTGTATTTGCACAGCTGTCTGGTGGGATGTTAGTTTGCCTTGTGGACAGTGAGGAATCAGTTCAGTGTGTCTGCCTAGTGAGGTGTAGAGAGCAACACATGCTGGCCTAACCACCCTGTAAGCACCTTAACGGGACATTGGTGACCACCACTGTGAGACAGCAGAGCAGAAATAGCTTGTGTGTGTGTGTGTGTGTGTGTGAGTGTGTGTGTATTTGCTAAGAGATGTGTTTTTGCATGATGTGGAAGGCATGGGTAGTTTTAATGTGTAGATGACTAAATGCACAATTTTCTGGATACTCTGATCTTACAGTTACAATGTGCCCCCAACCTTTATCCTAACCTTAACCTAAACCTTAGCTTAATAAAGCAACTTAGATAAGTAAGGTAGACACAGGCACAGTACACAATGTGCAGACATTCAAAGACATTTATGATTGAAGCCGTCAGATTTCCCCCAGTATTTATCCTTCATCTCCTTTTGAATCTGAAAAGTACAAGTAATTTTTTCCAAAATGCAAATAAAATGTATATGTAAAGAGTTTAATGGTGGGGGGATTCCTTTGAAGACAGCATTTTCAGATTCTTCCTACATAAGTCTCACCAGAAAAATACATTTGTGGCAGTGGATTGTGTTTCCCATATATGAAGGCACATTTCCTCTGATGTTACTATGTTAGCTTCTTTTTCCCAGCACTGTCTTATGTAGCCTGTATTTTTATTCATCAGGGTAAACCCCTTGTAAAGTTTTCCTAAATCTTAACCTCACTTTAACCTGAACCTAATCTTAACCTGACATTAAAACATGTCTTATGGAGATTAGTTTTTTGTCCCCATACAGAAGACCACCTCCCATTATGTGACTGTAAACAGATTAGGTCCCCATAACATGAGCACTACCTAGAAAACACAAACACAGCACACACATACATCTTAGCATCTCAGGTTTGAACACTGCAGGCAGAGTGTACTGGAATTCATCACCGAAGCGACAGTGGGATCCAGTAGAAGTTGGATGATAAAGGCTCGTTTCCAGCCAGCGCTGCGAGACACTGCTGTTCCCGTCCACAGCAGACAGACCCACCATGAGACAGAACAGAGGAACCATACTGACGTCAGTTTGTTGTCTGCCTGGAGAATCAGAGAGGATGTCAGTCAGTCAGACAGGCAGAGTAGCCTACAGTACATAAGCCTGGGAGGGATCCCACAGACAATACTTGCTCTTTGGTGCTGTGACTGTTAAAGTTTTTTTTTTTTCTCTATTAGTATTCTGATTCAGTGGCTAGTGCTTGTCAGTGTCTTGAATCTGTCGAGGCTAGCGACTGTATTTGTGCGTGCGTTCACATGTGTGTGTGCGTACATCTGAAAGCGAGAGACTGCCAGGATGACAGTCTCTGGTTGTTGAAGCTCAGCCACTGTGATGCTGTTGCATCTGACTGTCCCTCACTTTCTTTCTAAACTCTGCTCGCCATCTCCGCAAAACATCACGTCAAGTGGGAGTCAGTTTCCTATGGGAGAAAAAGTGACACTCCCTCAGTGATGATGATGAGTTTTTCATTTTATTGAAAAAATCTGACAATACAAACAGATACACACACAAAATATACAAGGAAAGCAAAGAAACACCACCTGCCCCATCACCTGGATCCAGGCAACTTACTCTTATAGAATATTATCATATCGTTACATATCTATACATCATTGATTTGTTCGCTCTGGACTCAAGCAATCTACAACTCTAAGTACACAATGATACGTCTGAACCCAACCACAAAAAGAGGGGGAGTTCCTTTTTTACTGCTTTTTTAAGCTCTTAGTTCTTAGTTAAAGTTAGGCCCAAATTTGTCAAGTCATTCAAAATGAGTGTAACAGGCCAACAAGGCAGCTTGATTCATGCTGAACCTTTTCTGAAGTGATCACAACATGCCACCAAACATCAGTTTTAAGGAATAGTTCTGACACTTTGGGGAAGTCAGTTATTATAGAGACTATAGACACAAGAGAAACAGCTCAGTGATATGCAAAACTTTGCAGGGTCAAGTAGGGCTACAGTTGGAGGCACATACACAAAATTACTGAGTTTTAATAAATGTCAACATAATATAACATGAGGCTTTAAATAAATGTGACCTCTTCTTTTAAAGCTGTTCAGGTGAAGCAGGGTTTTATATTGTCTTGGTGGGAGACTTTCCTGTTATTATTAGTTTATTAAGAAGGGATCCACACAGACTGCTCTCTGACGGCTAACTGCACTTCAGTCATGATTGAGTGGGGAGAGAATGATGTGGAACAAATTGTTCTTGGTCATATTTGAGCTTTTTGTTCCATGAATGATGCAAACAGTGTAAATCTCCAATGTGCGTGTTTGTTAACCTCTGGTCGGGAGTTTGCATGCATGCACATTTTCTAATAAACATTATGAGTCTATCGGCCCGACTTTTATTATGGGTTCTTTCTTGAACAGCTTTGAAAGAGTTAATGATACAGTGCCTTGTTATACAGCACAGTTTGTATCCAGCTACATGCAATCACTAATGTATTGTTACTAACTACAACTAGTAGCAAAGCACAGTCGTTGGTTTTCGTGGTTTTCTTTTTCTACCTTCTGTCTCGTTCCCATTCCTCTACCCTTTCTCTTCTCACCATCTCGCCATGCTGAGATGACTCTGTTGTCTCTCCAAGCTTTCCCATGAGCCCTTGCCCCAGTCTCTGTTTGTTTGTGAGATCCCTTCCCGTAGGCCACTGTTCCACATCTGTGGAAGTATGCGTGTGTACGTGTATTTTTGTGCGTCGGTGCTTTGAACAGTGTATATGGATTGTGTGTGCGTGCATGTGTGTACTCGTATGCTGGTGTGCGTCTGTGTGTGTTGTAATCAGTGTGTAATCCCATCCCCCAGGCCACTGTTCCACACAGCTGGACTCAGAGAGCCTCTGGAGGGTTTCTGTGCTATTCAAGCATCCTTTGCTCTTTCCACCTGACCGGGTGGTGTGTGTTTGTGTGTGCGTGCGTGCTTCCGTGTGTGTGTTTTAACAGGTGCAGTACCGAGAGCTGAAACTGGATCCCAGTCCCAGTCCAAATAAAAGGAAGAAAAACAACCCCGGGTAGATGACTGTGTCCGCCCACCAACTCGTCTCTTCTCCACTTTTCTTCTCTCTGTCTATGACTGGACACCGAGGAGCAGAGGAAGGCGGCTCTGGACGTGCTCAGCTCAAATGTCCTTCCCTTTTCTTATCTCCCATTTTCTTCTCTGCCTCTAATCACTCACCATGTACAGTACAGTTTCTCGATGTGTAATTTTTGTATAAAACAAGACAAGACACCCCTTGAATTGTTATCACCATTATGCTTCTGATTGATTTTAAAGGCGAGCGGGGAACGATGGCTGGAATGACCTTTTTATCAGCCGTGTGAGCCGCGCTCCTCGTTTTCCTCTCTCCATCACCCTGACAGCGCGGTGAACTCTATCTATTCTCCTGCCACGAGTGTCACACAAGGAGTACAATGAGTTTTAACATTTATACTCACCTTTCCAAAGACATATTCAGAGCATCCATGTTTATCAAAAAGACAAGCCTTATAACAATACTCTGCATCATCACTCCACAAAAGACTTTCCTTTTTTTTCTCTCACGCTGTATTTATTAAATGATTCTTTGGTAATATGTTTATATTTTCTAATTGTTTTTGTACTGAAGTATCTTTTGTTTTCTTCCCCTCTTGGACGTGCTAATGATATTATGTTCACTGGCAGTAATCTGGATGCCTGCACTTAACTCAGCCAGCCAAGTTGATTAGCAATTATGGTGGTAGCCTCCAGATATGTCCTTCTACACAAACACAAAGCTAGACCAATAAGCTGACGGCTCGTGCTGGTATCTCTCTGTGTTGAACAATGGCCAAATTATCATTATTTTTTTTAAATGGGCAATATGTGATTATTTTAGTTTAAAGACGTATATGTGTTGTGTTGCAGAAATAAATGTATATACTGAGGTTAGCATTCTAAGCAGCTAACCCCAGAGTGACAGTAATAGTGAGTCACTATATCTTCCAGATGGCCCCCAGTCGAACATGAGAGGATGAAGAAGTTACTGCAAGTCAACCATCAGCTTGTGATGGCACCATTAACCTTCCTCTAAAGCTCTGTCTCAATTTAGGGGCTTTATCCCAAAGGGTACGTGGTCTTTGTGGGGTGCATAGACCATGTTGAAGGCTGAACCAGAATAAGAATATCTGGTCTACAGAGGATTTCCATGAACAGAGCTGAAGTTGGACATGAAAAGAAATGTCTTTAATGTCCCTACATGTGTGCCGTGTGGTTGAGTTGAAGCATGATACTTAAGTGTTGGATATCTTGAATCCTGGGATGGGTTGGGCCGGGAAGGATGCATCCATTGGAGCCTTTGTTTCTCGGGAGGAAGGATGCATTTGTTGGCCACATTTTAAGGAGCCTTCGAAATGGTACAGTCTGGTCACATGGTTGTGATGCAGGGATTCAGCCCCTGAATTGAGACACAGCTTATTTCCAAAAACTCTGCTCTTAATGCTGCTGCTCGAGCTGCTTCCCCTCTCCTTCCATGTCTATGACCCCTCGCTGCTCATCCTCTACTCCTGACATCACCACATCTTCCCTGTTCCACTGACTCAGTCGAGCTAAGCGTAATGGGGAGGGTTGCCCAGTGAGCACTGAACAGGAACACACACGGCCTTCAGATGACCAGTACATTGAGAGGGCCAGTGAAAACTTTATGGGTTTTTTGAGGACCCACAGAACCTCAGCTCATGAGGTTTGTCCCACTATTCCAGATGGCTTCTCTGACTATGGTGCAGATTTCTCCTCAACATTTCCACTTTAAAGACATAATGATAGAAGAAAAAATCAAAGCACACTGGATAATGATATCAGTTAAAAATAAAGTGAGTCTGTATTTCTAGATCACTCGATAGTGATTATATAATCATTATTAAATCATACCCATAGGAAAAAGAACAACACTTTAAAGTATGAGACAGTTTGTGTTATGCCCTAAACTTTAATCAGTAGTAAATACCCAACTTAGCCGTGTTTAACCCCTGAAAAACATGTCAAAACCTCCGTCCATCCGTCAGTCAGAGATCCATGTTCTCTGTCTGACAGGAGGCGCAGCAGACGGGGCCTTCTGCTGTCGTGTTGTTAATATAGATGTCACCCAGTCTATGCAGAGTGTCGCCAGGCAGGCAGGCCTTCAGGCAGCCGCAGCCCTAATCTGGTTTGAAAGGCTGGTCTCCTTTCCTCACATGTCCCGTGTGCGTGCATGCATGTGCCTGCACGGGCCTCGGCAGCCACGCACGACAGCATTTACACACACACAAATCTCTCACGTCAATACACTGCTCGCCTACAGATACCGCACCTATACTAGCTTGCAGATGAAAACAACATCCCATTTGAGCACACACACACACACACACACACACACACACACACACACACACACACACACACACACACACACACACACACACACACACAYGCTCCCTGTGATGCTGTGCCCCAGGCTGGCTGCCCTCTCCATCTGCCCCACCTCCTGTGCCCACAGCTCAACTTTGATCTGCCTTCCCAGAGACACAGGCTTGTATATGTGAACTGTGCGAAAGAGTTTGCGTATACACGTTTATGGAATCAAAGACATGTTGCTTTTCTCAGCGTCGGAATGTGTTGCAATTGTATCTCCCCTCCAGCTGTAGACTGATGCATAGATTCGGTGTGTGTGCGTGTGCGTGCGTGTGTGTGCAGCAGAAGTGCCAGCTGTTATTTGGTGTGCTGGTGCAGAGGGCCGTCAGCTAGATGAGCAGCAAGTCGCTGTGTGACAACATGAGGCTCTGAGGGGACTTAGGCCTGAGATGTCTGGGATAGAGGTGTGTGTGTGTGTGTGTGTGTGTGTGTGTTTTATGCTATTTTAGATCTTTCTTCCCATCATGCCTCTCTCCGTTTGCTCTCTGCGGTTTCCTCATTCGTCAGTGAGCGGGGTTGCGACCCTGTCTGAAGGGACGGTCTCCTGGGCTTCTCGTCGAGCATCTGTTGAAAGATCACAGCTCAGGCTACATTTGAGGAGGTCTCCTCTCATCCCACCGATCCCAGCCCCCACCTCGCCCGCCGCCCCATACGTCTTTCTGTTCCCTTTTTACCCCCTTTTGTCTGTTCGGTCGTCTGCCTCTCCGTCTATCTTTATCACTCTGAAGCCCCTTAGCAGCGACTGGAGCTCTCCACTGCCATTTTGTCATCCTCGTGCCCTGCCTGTCTGCCTGCCGTCACCTCTCCTGCTCGCTCCCCCTCCCTCTCCACCCATCCATCTCCATGCTTAAATATCAACAGGCTCGGGATCTGTCACTCCAGAGGGCCATTGATTTTGTTGTGTTGTTTTGAGGAATCCACTTGAAAGACAATAACAGACTGTCCCCCAAGAGCGAGCGTCGCAGACTGATTACAGCCTCCTCAACAAACACACTCTTTGCTTGGTGAAGGATGGCGTTTTATAATGCCGGGAGGGACTGTCTGAATACCTGATATGTGTGTGTCTACTACTGTATGTGGTTATTTTACAGCAAATAGTGGTGACAATTGTGTGGTATTGCATCCAAATACAGTTTTTTTTTTGGTGTTTATGTATGATTTGGTTTTGGCTGTTTGCAACCAAACCAAAGTGTTTTTATGTTATATGTTGAAGAGAAAATAAATTACAACCACGAATGTATCAGGCTGACAGCTGCAAAGGAAAAAAAAAAGCATTTATTTGCACCGGGTTGAAAATGAGACTATTTTTTAAAATGAGACTGTACATAGCTAGCTCCTTATTTAATGGTTGTATTTTATACAGTATGCCTGTTGATGGTCTGGTGATGTTAAGTGGGTGTATGCCTGCATTATTTTCTAATGTCTGTCTTTTTTTTTTTCTGCCTGCAATGTTGCCTGCCTATGACATCATTTTTATGTGCTCAGTTCTGACCAATGACACTTCAGGACAGGAACGCGATGGGAGCTGAGACGAGGGTGAAGTCAGGAACGGCGAAAGAAAATCTGTATATTTCTGGTTTGAAAAATGAAATGCATCTGATGTATGTTGCTTATTTTGAAAAGAAAATGAAAATGAAATATGAGATTAAATATTTTTTATCAACTTCATTGCGTCTGGACTAATGTGTTTATCTCGGCCTCAGTCACCAACTACCCTCCTAATTCAGTGTCAGATCCCCCACTCCTCAGTCCTCGCCTCCGTTGCGCCCCTCTTCGTTCACCTTCACCTTCAGGAAGTGGCTCATCTCTCACCACTGTCTGTGTGGCGGAGACCCTGACTTTACAGTCTGAAGTATCTCAAACCAGGATAACATTTTTTAGTTTTCCACTGATGCTCCCACACGAAGCCACTCGTCTGACGGAGCACCGTTCACAGTCACGGGCTAGTCACACGTACACAAATGTTGCCACAGCGAACCTTCCTCTCCTGCTCACTTCGAATCAGAGCGAGGGGGCAATTAAAACATTTGCTTCCTGTGTGGTGAAGCAAAACCGCAGTGTAGCTTTGTGTTCAGTTTAATTTTAAACTTAGACCCCCAATATTTCATTTGCTTTGCATATGTGTGACCTTGCGGTAAAGCTAATTTTCAAAACGAATTAAATTTTATACATTGTAAGCATCAACAAATTTAATTTATTTTGTTATAAATAATAGAAATTGAGGTAGTAACAGTTGTGAAAACATTTTACATTTTTCCATTTGACTTAAAAACATTTTAAACCAAAACAAGGTGGAATAACTTAACCAAACCATATTACAATGATGATCGAGTATAAAACCGTATATGGAGAAATAAACATCCATCTAACTTCAGCATCACTTGAATACCCATTTGCCTGAGAGGTAAGAAAGTAGAAAGCCAGTGTAGACACACTTTTAGGCGTCAGTGAATTGTGTGACCATGTACTTAACCATAGACACAGAAACACTCCTGTTAATATTTCAATCAGGTTGTGCTCTTAGGGGTTTTTAGAGTTTTGATTGTCAAGCCTGTGTCAGAAATCAGCGACGAGCGCTTCTGCCCGTGACTTCAGATCCTCCAGTATCTCCATTAGGAACCGTGTATTCTGTCCTTTACACTCTTTAATAGCCGGAGACACTTGCCCCAGGAACCTCCCTCTGCTGAGCTCCAACAGTGTCTCTGCATCTTCCGCCAGCCTCACTACCCGCTGGTCCATCCAGCCCAGAGTCACCTTTTGGAAGGAGTGTGTCTCCAGGGCCCTGACCAGCCTGTAGCCCAGGCTGTGGGCCTTATCGCTGGGCCGTGTGTGGCCCGGCAGGCCCCTTTCCTGCTGATAGGAGAAAATTAAGTGTGCCAGCAGACAGGATCCAGCCTCCATGAGGGGAAGGTTCAAGACCTCAGTGACTTTGTTTGTCAGGGCAGAGTCTCCGACCTGTGCGCTGTGAAGGAGCTCCTCCCTCTGACTGGTATCAGAGACCAGATCCAGCGCAGTCCGCCCGTCTCCGTCAGTCTGCTGGATGAGAACTGAGCCTGGGGGGGACAGAGGATCAGACAACATGACCTCTACTTGCTTTGATTCCAGACACATCTAAAACAGTTCAGGCTATTACATACTTGTTGAAGGCTTCACCAATCACAATGAAGATTTCAGTCTTCAGAGTGCTATGCACTGAAATAGTTGTTCTGCTTACAAACAACATAAACATCACGGCATGTGAAAGGATTCAAACACCGGGACATTCAGAGTAGCTATAGCCCAGAACCTGGACCTGACGGCTATTAAGTATAAAAACGTATGTTTGTATATTTGAGTTACATACACTTAAACAGTTACAATTTGGCTTAGCAATAAAAAAAAAGCTGCTCTTACTCTAAACTGTTGTTTTGTGCTTTTCTTTAAAAGCAAAAAGTCTCGTTTCTGGCAGGTAACTGCTTTAAAAGCATCGATTTTGCACCGGTATTGGACAAAACGATACCAAACCCTATAGTTAAAATATTTTTTTTATCGTGAATCATTTCATATATTTTCGAAAACCCAACACAACAAAAGTGAGTGCATGGCCGCTCATGTCAGCCTCAGTATTTTTCTACTTTAAAGCTCATCTTAAAGTGCTGTGTTTTAAAGCAACGAGAGATGTGCTCCTGTTTTAAGTGGCATCGCCCGAGAGTGCTTGTAAGAAAGTGAGCATGAACTTGAAATGCGACTTAGGGAACAGCCACGTGTCGTTTTCAGAAGCTGAAATATTGCAGCTGAGGAATCAGTGAAAACATTGTGACACAGCTCGTGCAGCAACGCTACTGTGTAGGCGACTGTGTCTGTATTAAATAAGACACTGCACGGGGTCAATGGCAGGACACGGCAGCAGACACACACACACACACACACACACACAAAGAGGAACACACAACACACTTGCAGTGAAGTGTAAGTGAACAGCTGTTTTCCCACTGGGCCTCAGTGCCAGCCAGAGCTTTTAGCTCGCTTCAGCACTAACTTCAGCTGACACCTTGTCTTAACTGTGTGACTGGGGGGTCAGTTTGTGTTTGTGTAAAAGGCACAGAGGGTTAGTGACCTAATGGAGGCTCTGCGTTCTGATGTAACGGTGTGAGCGAGCTCATCGCCATCATCACTACTGCGGAGGACTGAGGAGACCTTGAGTGTGACGTGAGAAAATTGCTGAGTTTAAAAGTTTGCACTTTGTAGATAGTTAGACATTAATCTAAATAATTGTAACAATGCTGTAAGTAGTGTCAGGGCTTGCAGCTTCAATGAGGATCAGATGTGTTATTTTAGTGAAAGAGGCATCCATTTTTCCGATACATTCAAAACATCTTCAGTAACCTTAGCTTTGCCCTCTTAGCCCCGTGTCACTACAGACACAGCTGCATTCAATCCTTTTTTCCCTCCCTCTTAAGAAGCCAGCAAAGTTATAATAGTGACTTCTACCTTCTCCTCTCGCTCTCTTCTGCTTTGTCTGTTCACACTCGAAACCATTTTCCAGTGTCAGACAGGGCCGCGTGCACTTAGCCTACACGGAGAAGGCCGAGTTTAGTGCGAGCCCTTTGTTTGCTCTCAGATAGACCCATTTCTATGGCAAACTGCTCTTGATGGCACTTGACTGTTCAACCTTAGCAATGCTGCCGCCACTTGTGAGCGAGTTTATGGCTCTGTGGAGGCGCTGCGTGACACACAGACGGCTGAAAGGCAGCTTGCTGCCAGTTGTTTTCGTTTGACAGACACTGTGGGGCTGCAGGAAAGCATGATGCTTTAAAGGAGGGACAATCACGTTTGTGTGTGTTTGTGTCGTGATTTAAAGCACTCTGACTAGGCCTCAGAGAAAAGTTCAAAATCAAATCTGATGAATTCTGAAATCGCTCTCCGTGTTGCCGTCTGCCACAGAACTGACACCGTGTGCGGCGGTTATGAGATAATCGGCGAAAGCTCACGTAGCTGTTAGCGGCGAAGGTCAGCGCTCGTCTACTTTCTAGTGCTTCAAGCCTGAGTGGCAAAAACTCAATCTGCATAAATTGTGGCATTAATCTACATAAACTTTTACATAAGCGGCAAAATTTCAAATGCAGGGGTCAGGCGTCGGGGGCAGCAGTCAAGGACGTAAGAGCCCAGATTTTATCAAAGTGGCCACAAGAGAAAGGCAGAAGGGAGGGAGACAGAGCGATGTGGTGTATGTGTGTGTGTGTGAGAGAGAGTGAGAGCGAGGCTGTTCGCAGGAAGTCATAATCACCAGGTTTCTATAACAAGCTGTCCTCGCTGTTACGCTCATCCAGTAGGGGTGGCTGTAACATGCGAAGACACATTGTAGAAAAGTTCAGGTCCACCACAAGTTTTTAAAAACCCACAACTTTAAAACCACAGAAACACAGGGACAAATGCAGAACAGTGTCGGCTGAAAAACTGATCTGTCTCTGTCACTTCAGATGAGCATTACAAAAAAGATGGAATGGCTTTTCTATACTCAGGCTGTTTTTTCTCTTTATACTACATAATGTTCCATGGCTTCCTTTTGAGAGGACCAACCTTGGATGAAGCTCCACAAGGGGCCTTAAAGCCTGAACCACCAACTCAAGTGCTCTGTGGAGTGTTTTCATCCAAAGGTGAAGAAAAGGGAGGACAAGGTTTACTTCTCCCACTCCTGGTTATTTCCTTTTCATCAGGAATTAGGGCGGCAGTGCTTTATTTAACTGGCACAGCACAGGGGTTGCAGAAAATAGAGAACAGAAAAAACTAACAAAAAAATTTAATTGAAAATAAAATGTGAGGAGGAAATACATACATAAAGTGTGTGTGTGTTCCAGTTGCTCAAATTGTGGGGACCTAAATCCTTCATCCTGTAGCGTGGCACTGTGAGTGTGTGTGTGTGTGTGTGTGTGTGTATATACCAAGTTTAGAAATTGCTTTACACCAGTTTCTGTGGAAATGCATCAATTCCATGCATCAGTTAAATAAGATGAAACTCCTGCACTTTGTTTCTCCTCTCGTGGGATAAAACTCTTGTTGCAGCAGCAAATATATGCAAATTAATTAAACAAAAATACGGATAATTTAAGCACAGAGTAACACAAACACTGTAATTCAGATTCACAGTCACAACTGTATCGTAGAAACAAGAGAAACCTTGTCGCACCAGAAGTGTGAATCTACAGTAATCAAGAGACAATCGTGCCCTTTCCAATATGCTCTTGTGAAAACTGGACAGTGAAACGGTAATTTCATGAAAAAAAGACAGCAGCAGTCTGCTTCAGTGCTTTCAGTCTAATGCACTTGTCACTTTTCTCCTCTGCAGTCCTGTTTGCTTCATCAGCACGAGGGGAAAGAAAAAAGCAACATCGAGAAGCACAGTTTTCCAGCCTCCCCCCCACCGTCATTGTGTCAAGCCCGCCTGACAGACAGGGCTCTGAGCGGAGGGATGACACTGGTGTGGGGAGGAGAGGGCCCCTGCAGCACGGCCCTGGGCTCGGCTTGCTTGACAGCCTGTACAACTGACTGTACGTCTGCGCGTTTGATTGCAGATCTG